TAATATTAATTAAAGTATTTTTACCTTTTATACTGATTATAAAAAGTTTTTTCTAAACTCTTGCTTAGTATGATTATGATGACAACTATTTAAAAATAGAAAATTTCAACATATCCTTAGAAACATTTAATATTACTTTATATCTTTTACAATAATTAAAATTACATATATATCTATTTCAAACTATAAGGATCGGTTGGTGGATTGAATTAGGTGGGCAGAACATTACTAAATTTTTTGGGAGGTGTTTGGCGTAACCTAGAACAAGAACAGAAGAGAACTTTGACCAAGTCAATGCGATAATTCATTTAAAAAATAGTCCCACCAAAATTGGTAGATTTGAACGGTACACGTTGATTTCTTTTCTATGTTGGACGAAACTATCCCTCTTCTGAAAGTGTCTCCAGCCTTCATCTCAAGATTTCCCACTATACATACATGATAAATGATTATCCGATAATCATTCAAACCCATTTTGATTCTCATCAGTCACGATTTCTCATCAGTGCATTGACTTCATCATCCGGGTATGATTTTTTTTGAAGTTTATCTCTAAAGTTTTGGGTTTATTGATTTAAGATAACTTGTTTTGTTATGTTCCAGTCTTATCAAATGCAATACAAATTATTTGACCAGTCCAGTCAAGTCCTGTCGTGTTTAGTCCAATTCATCAGCCAAACGGTACCTAAAATTCATTTTTTTATATCCAAACTTATAATTTTATTAGGATAAATGAATTTAAATTAAAAACATATTTAAAATTCAAAATTCTATATCATATTACTAAAAACCCTTCCAAACTAAAGATTAGGATTACACCTAATTAAATATTAAAAACTTTATTTTTTTTACCGTCTTCTCGTGGCGTTGTTTTTCTCATCTTCTTCTCCACGATGCCGCGTCTTTTCATCCCAAGGTACAGAGTTGCGCTTCTTCTCCCCCTCTTCATTACAAGTTGCAGAGTTACTTTTCAACATTCGGTTTTTTTGGTATTCAGTTAATTGGGAATGAGATTGCTTTTGGTGAGCTATGACTCTTCTTTATATCTGATCCACCAACTTGCATAAAGTCCAGTTTGCTGTGAGTATATGATCATATGTGCAAATATTTGGAATTATATGCTATGATATAAAAGATTCAAGGTTGTTACTTCCAGTCCCAGATGGTTCCGTCCCAATTTAAAATCCAAATGTATTGCAAAGTTCTTTGTTATTGTAAGGGTCACATCAAAAGTATAATGCTAATGATGCTCTTGTTACTTAAATGTTCTAGGTGCAAGGAATTTTGTTTGCTTTTTGGAATCCCCCACATAAAAAGTTGAATACAGTATTGATGGTTTTGCTCTCAATATACGCTCTGATTGTTGCTTTGTTAAAGTTTGTAGTTACTGTGAGTCCCTCATCAAAAGCACATTGCTATGTTTTGGTGATCAGAACTGAAAAAACTGACCCTGTTATGCAAAATTACCATTGCTACTATCTCAATTTCAACATTAAATTTCATTTTTAACCTCAAGAATTAAAAACTAAAAAAATGAAACCCTTTCTTTAAAAAATGAAAGAAATACCTAAGTATTCATCGAAATGAACGATTAAAACAAATACAAATTCAAATAAATCAGTTTTTGATGTGGTTTGCATTTCACATATTGGTCTTGCTTAAGCAAATTGAACAAGAATTTATGATAGTAACCAATGAACCATAAAGGATACCCAACTAAATTTATCAGCAACAAAATTTAAATTTATTGTAATACAGTTAGATAAACTTAATACATATATACAGATATCATCAGGCAACAAGTCAAACATACACATGATCTAGATATCCATGGGTACCCACAACTCCTGTGGCTATGTAAAACAAAGAAAAAAGAAAAGAAAACGCAAGTATATGCTCATATGAAACTAAGGGTCTTCTTGGTTAGCAAAATGATTTTAGAAGATATGGAATTACAATCTACCATGTGTTCACTTGCTAGAAAAAGAAATGTATTTCGATTATATTTCTTAGTTGTTTTATGTCTGGTTAAGAAAACTGTCAAGGGGAAGAAGAAACTCTCTGTTGCGAACTAAAATTAACTAGTGTTTTACCCGTCCGTTGGTCGAGTATATTGACGGAAAAACAATAGATAGATTTTACTTTCTTGTATAACATCGGACTTTCATTTGTTCCAATTATAGCATTGTATTATGAAATTCATTATTTTTTTTGTACTTATATCGTTCATTTGTTCCAATTATACGAACAGATACAAACTTATTTTTATTCATTATACCGGCCTACATTCATTGCATACTTGAGGATTATATTTAATTGCATACTTGAGGGTTGTTTTAAACTTAATGACCCTATAATATCTAGACTGTAGTTATACACATTGACCGGATGAAAATGAGTTTACTTATCCCACAAAAGCTTTGCATCAAGGGCAAAAATGTCCGAAAATGAGAGACCCAATTGTACTCTTGAGAAATTTTTTTGGAGCAACTGAATTTCAATCCATGAAAAAATGAAATTATAGTTTCAGACAAAAACATAAAAGCATGACATCATTTTTGAGTTCTATTATAATATTAGAGAAAATATAAAAACAAAAAACAATTTTTGAAGACAGTGTTTCAAATCATAATTAAAACAAAATGAATCAAAGTTTAATTTTAAACACCATTGGATTTAGAATTACAATTTATTAATTATGGTTAATCATTTGACATTTGTAAGGATGTAAACTGAATAATGAATAAAGATAGGTGTTTGAAAATTATAGCTCTCATGTAAAAGAATGATAAGAAATATGAAGGGATCAATGCTTCTTTGTTTTGTTTGATGACAATTTCTGAGTTTTCCAATGTCTTCTAGTCAGCCTCACCCCGTGTAAAAGTAAATTGGGCCATCACACATAGAAAGTAAAAAAGACCACAAAAAAGAGGGGGAGAATATATGAAAAAATATAGAATTTCATTTTAATGATGAAGCACTATAGTATATAATTACGCCTTCCTTCGTTCCTTCCTATATTCCAAAAAACAACAAAAAGTATGTTAAACGTTTGAAAATAAGTATGAATTCAATACAGTCAGCTTCAAAACATGAAAATCCATTAGCCAATCGAAAAAATTGGTACAATATCCACAAAATATACATTTTCATTGGATTAAATGTTCGTATTAACAAAATAGAGACTAAACATAAAGGTGTGGTGGAATATATAAAATAATACATGATAGTGGTAAATGCAAAGATTAGCAATATACATTATTAATTGGAGGCTACAGTGCACTGAATCTCCTTAAACAATAAGCACAGTTTTGAAAACATATTGTTTGTCAAAAGCAAATAGAATATAGAATTTTAATTGGAATAATAGACTCTTCTCTATTACATCTACTATATCTCTTGCTATTAATCACACCTTTTCCTCCTCCAACAGATACCCAAAATTATGCATCATCTAATATGACAATGGGATATTAATAACGATTTAAATTATTTTTCAACATGGTATAATTAAAATAAATTATTAAAATGTATACCTCCAGAAGTTATTTCCTTATTGATATGTCAAAATTAAATGCCACGGCAAAGCATTATGCACTTGTTCCCGTGTAAACAACATATTATTTTCATCAAAGAAAACAAATAAAATGACCAAATCAAATTATTAGTAGCTTGAAACCAATTTCCGTTGTGAGAGAGAGAGAGAGAGAGAGAGAGAGAGACTTACCTTTTTGAAGGTTTGGCAGAGAAGCAACGTCGTCTTTAGCAGTCCCAGAGCGCCAAACATTTACCCCGCTATTGATTCTGTTCGATACAAGCTTAAGAGTAAAACAAAAATCAACATATTATAAGAGTATGGATCCTAAAAATGCAATAAACTTCAATTGCAACACCAAAAACCCCAAATAGTGAAGGGTTTAAGGAGAATTGTGGGGAAAGTGGGTAGATAGAAAGAAGAATGTGGGGAAGAAAAGTTATGGCGATTGAAGTAACATGGAGTTGAACGGTGAATCCCAAATCCAATAAATGACACGCAATGAATTAAAGAAATAAAATTACATTGGGTTGTTCTTCTTCTAGGTTATTTATACCAAAAATATTGTTAAATCCCAATTACAGTAAAAGTCACATAATGAACTGATCATAATCCGTCTTATATAGCGGAAATAGAGTGTGAACGTGGCTGTGCAGAATCAGATAGTGGCTTCCGTAAACTCGGATAGTGCCTTCTGTATCTTGGTTGAAGAAGGAGGACATGGGCAGCAGTTGAATCCAGTCTCCATTCTCAACTGTATTCAACCATGATAGTTAAAGGGAGATTGGGTAGACGTCTAAGCAAAAGATGCAGGCGTGATACAGGGACGTTATGTGATAGTTTACATTTTTACTGGGAAAACCTACTCTATAAATATCTATGAGAACAAAAGTATGTAAATGTTAGAAGTTATATGTTAAATTAAAGGGTTGTATCTAAAACTAAAGAGTTAATGCAATTGTATATAAACCTTATAGTAAATAAGTTAATCAAGGGTCTTAAAATTTCTTCATTATCTGGAGCAAATTAGAGGAAACCCAAGACCCCAAGTTTAACAAATGCCCATAAAGCGTGAGGAAGCGATATATTCAAAGCAAATATATAACTTTCATCAGGTCGAACCAATAATAAACAAGATTCAACACCGATTTGAAATCTATCATAAAAGAGATGGTTATTTTGTTATTTTGTGAATATCCTTTGTTATTTTTCAATATTTGCATATTTTTTCGTCAACTCGTCTTTCATCTCATATTTCTGTTTATCAAAATTTAATGAATATGTTTATTATTTTAATGACTTAAATGTTTGTTATAATTATTTAAAAAAGCAATTATATCAAAATACCCTAATAGTAAGATTTTTTTTAAAAGGAAACACAGATGCAAAGCATTCACAGTAGTAAATAAATGCAGAAACACACTATGCACACATAAAGATTAACTATCAAAATATATTAATTTCATCATGCTTTATTCGATACTATATGCGTACTACAAAGCGTTCCACCTGAACCCCAAGGTTTAGCAAACGCCCATGATGGATTAGGGAATGATACATTCACTGGAGATATATAAAATCCATCAGATCTTAATTGCCAATAACAATAAACAACACGAAATCCAATCCCTCCAAACCTATCGCATGTTGTTCGCGCAAGTTTAGCAAACGCTTCCAAGCAATCATATGATTCACCCCACCAAAACTCAGCATCAAATGTTGTTGTGCTATCAAGTCTATCACAAAATGACCAATGATAATAACCATTTGAAGTGACATTATGTTTCCCAAGATCATCATCTTTTGATCTAACATGCATAAGAATATTATCAGGAGTACCGTTCATAATATACATCTTCCATTGTGGAGTAAAGAAGCAAGAATTTGTGATGGAAGGGAAAGAAAATGCTAGGATGAGACAAATCAAGAGGCTACGCATTGTATATGACAAGTTTATAAGAAATTTAATTTTATAAATTGTAATAGTTGGTTTTTTATAGATAGTTGGGTTCTCAATCTATCTAATGAGAGGATGTAGTGCACCATGCTAATATTTAAGATGCATTAAGTGCTAGTAATGTAAGATAGTAAATTACACAAATTATCCCCGTGGTTTAGCATAATATTTGACTTTCATCCATAACTATTTTTTCACTCAAACAGTTCCTAAGTTAATCTTTGTTCTGTCGATATTTAAGACACATTAATTGCTAGGGTTCTTGGAGTTTGACATGTGCTCCGATGACTTCTAAAAGTGCATTGGTGAACAACATGGTTTATTTTTGTTGGCGATTAAGATCCAAAAGCATATGCAACATAGTGTTTTCCATGTTTTGTGTGAACTTGATATTTGTAATATTTGGTTATTATTTGTGATCTATGGGTTATATATATATATATATATATATATATATATATATATATATATATATATATATGATGTATGTATTACTATATGTATGTATCTCATCAGGTGAAACCTAATGCTTACCATGCTTTGTGTGTTATTGGTTATAAAGAGAATTTGATTGTGGTAAAATTGTACATAAAGTTGATGCATCGTTGGGCTACTTGACTTTGTCCATGGAAATATATGTTTTAGTTTTTTTTCTAGCCTTTGTGTAGGGAATAAAATTATAAGGACAGTGTGGGGGTTTCATGTCTATCTTCTCCGAGATATAAGTTGGGGAACGAAGAGGAATGGAGTGGGTTGTGGACTTAATTGTTTTAATAATAATTTAAAAATATCATTAAGGGAAAATAATCATTTTAATGTGATCCGGTGCTATAGTTGAAATAAAACCAATCTCAGGGATCTTCTGAATAAAAAACTCTTTATAAGTATGATATCTATATATTAGAACAAATCAAGGGGACAATTTATGTAATTTGTACTGTATTTAAGAGGAATTCATCGAGACAAATAAGAATATTTATTGTTGCATTTTACAAAATAAAAAATATTATATAATTATGTTGTTTATTAGTTTATATATATCTTATCAAATATACCTTTAGGGCGCACATAATAAATATTAATTATGAGAAATATTACCATAATTAAATGTGAAATACATTAATTATAAAGAATATTACTGATTGAAAAATGTAAAGTTGTGTTAATTATGAAGAATATTCTTTATAACTAAAGTATTTCATATTTAATTAGGGTAATATTCCTTATAATTAATATTTCTTACACATGTCTTATGACACATGTTAGAAAATCCCATATATTTATTCAAAAGTATTTGTTGATGTAAAATAATATTCATTTGCAAAATGTAACATTAGGGCCGACCCTAACGATGGACAACCCGGGCGACCGCCCATGGTCCACGTCTCTAAGTGAGCCAAAATTTATGGTCTATATATTGTATACATATAAACAAATATGTACACATTTCTTAGGAGCCCAATTATCAGAATCCCAATTTAGCCCAATCTCAAATTAGCCCAAACTCAAGTTTGCCCAAGAATAAAGAAATTTGTTCGGGGCGGGGCATGGTTTCCCAAACCCGCCCCAGTAGCTTTCAGGTATCTTATCGGGGTGCCTCATCGGATTTCGGGTTTTCCCGTCGGTTTTCGGATATCTTTTCGGGTTTACAACAATTCATAATGAAATCTTTATTCTGTTTTAGGGTAACCCGATGTCTTATAAAACATACATGTTATAGCCTCCCTTTTATTTTAAAATAGGATGCATCATTTTAATAAAATAAACTGAACGTTATATTAAAAAATTATTTGATTTAAGTTTAGTGTAATATGTCAAAACATAAAAAATGATCATTCACAGCAGAATGCTATATATATATATATATATATATATATATATATATATATATATATATATGATATATATATATATATATATATATATATAGAGTTAGGTTCATATGTGGATGGACATCTATTGTGTGGTTGTAGGAACCAATAAGATTTTAATAAAACATTTAATTATTAGTTAATATAATAAGGGTATCTTAGTAATATTACATATGGATTAAATGACATTCCAAATTAGATGCCTATAATCTTGGATAAATAGTTGAATCATCATTTATATCTTCACACGTTTTCTATCATCTCCAAAACCCTATGCCGCCATTATGCTCATCAAATCATTGCGATTACAAAATAAAACCTCGATATGTACTCATCGTTCAATGACTTCCCTCAACGCAAAATCAACAACCATCGATCGATCAACATTCTAAGACTCGGTTCTTTCGATATCAAACAAGATTTGGGTCAACTCTCCCATTGAAGAAACACAGGTAATTTTTTATTCCAACTCTTGTAACAAACAGTGAGAGATAATAGCCATGATTGATATTCTAACTCAGTTATTTGCATGCATTTCGTTAATGTATGTGTACCATGTCAATGTTATGAGTTCATGAAATACTTATATAAACACAATTTGGTATATGTAATGTAATAGGTTCTTAAATAGTTTTGAAACAAATAATCATATAGATTCTTCAATTGCGACTTGGCCTTCTAAGTTTCTAAAGCTACTGTGATATAATTACCAATATATAAGTCAAGTTAGATAATTAATATCATTATTAAAACAGTTATGATAATTTAGAAAATTTTACGATTGAAGTACTACACATGAAATTAATATATAAAAGCTTTTAATCCTATGTTTACTTTTTAGACTCCGTCATCATATGTTAAAAGTTAATATATAAAAGATTTAATTCTTGCCACTTTGTATGATTTTGTATGATACAAAAGCAAATTTCACTTATATTTTATTTTATCTTATTAAGACACTAATTTGAATTGCTTTTTGTTTTTGAAGGTCCAAGAAAACTTCCTATCATCTAATAGAATAGTATTCTTGCAGAATGTCATTCTCACCTAATGTTATTCTCGTAATAATGGTTATAATCAAGTCGATTATTTGAAAAATTATTAGAGAATGTCATTCTCATAGAATGTAAGTGCATCTAGGAACAAACCAAGAAGGAGAATGAAGATTCTTTCAAGAATGAAGATTTTTTTTTGCAAAAGAATTCAAGACTCATAGCAATAATTTTTTTTTTCAGAATGGATTAGTGTTTTCGCTAGATTGTGATGTTCTTTGTTCTTTTTAACCATTCTTAGTTTTAATCATTAAGAATAATTTAATTTTTAATCATTATTAGTCATATTTTTTTTCCAGAATAAATGTAATTATTGTTTATAGTCTTATTCTTTAAGAACTAATGTAATTAGTGAATCTAAAATACCGTTATTAGTTTATGACCGACATTTTGTCATTCTGACGGAACAAAATCAGTTGATATAAAAAATTACGTTGGAATTAAAATTAAATTAATTTAAAAAATTCAGATTTTTTAAAGTAAGAGAATTAATTATCCCTTGAAATTCAAAATTTTCCTTTTTTAAATGTAGTTTAGTTGACCAAAATACTCTTATGTTGAAATTTGAATGATTATATGGTACATGTTATCCCATTGTAATATCATAGACCCTCAAATCATGATCATTCATTATATTCATCCATTGGTCCAGAATTGTCCTTACGACCACACAATAGATGTGATCCACATTATAACCTAGCCATATATATATATATATATAATCGGGGCGGGGCAGATCGGGGCGAGGATAACCCACTCCCTGCCCCGAACCCGATAAAAAACCCGATAACGACCTGTTACCCGACCCGAAATGATCGGGTTTCGGGTTTCCCCGTCGAGTTCGGGCTTTTTTGCCATCCCTAGGTTTGTTCGATGTTGAATGATAGATGAATGCGCATGTAGAATGGTCAAGAACAAATGAAGCTCCAAAGCGGGAATTAAAAAGCCTTGTGAATATAATCGACATAATCGACAATGATAACTGAATCCTCATATACATCAAGTAGGAACTCGTGCATCGTCGACGTCATGATGTCTCCTTCTCCCCGTGACATAAGAACTTAGAAATGCATTCAACTATCGCTTCTAGAATCGTTATTCTCTCTTGCTTGAATCGTCATTTACTCTTCTCTCTTACACTCACAATTGACTTCTCTGTGCTTCCCACTCTCGTTTTTCTCAGACTTTACTCCTCACGCTCGTTTTTCTCAAACTTTCTCACAATCCGCCATTCGTCTTCTACCTCTCAATCTCGATTCTTGACCATGCCATCTTCTTTTGAATTTATGTTGATTCCAGAATCGTTAGGACTTATCTAGACAACTTTAAGGTATGATTTTTGTTTCTAAAAGCTTATAGATTTGTATATCAGTTTTTTCTTTTAGATTTTTGAATTTGATTTTTTCTTATCAATATAAGTTTGTATATCATATTTCTTTTTCTGAAAGATTATAATCTTTGTTTCTGATTTTTGTTTGTACATGAAATCTCTAAAGTTGATTATTACAGGAACAGTGAAATGCATTGCCCTAAGTTTCAGATTTTTCACCCATCAAGGTAAAATGTTGACTAAACTGCACAAATGGTCCTTGTGGTTTGCTCAAAATTGTCACTTTGGTCCAAAAATGTTTGGACTTGCACCACAGGTTTGCGAGTTTGGTCCAGTTTGCTTTGAAATTTTTATTAATGACGATTTTGCCCTTACTTTTTATTTTTTTAGTTGCTTTTTTATTTATTTAAAAACATTTTAGAATTTTCGTAATTAAAAATAAAACAAAAAAGAAAATATTACCCCTATCCCTACCCCACCCTCCCCGTACTCTTTCACATCCCACTACCAGTTACGCTATCACCACCACCACCACTGTCAGTCACCACCACCACCGCTACCACCACCGTTGGTCACCAACAACAACCACTGCCACCTCCGGTCACCACCAACACCATAACAACACAAATTTTCCAAATCTGAATACCAAAACACTCATATAATTCCAGATCAATAATTTCAAATTAAAACTCAAGAACTACCACCACTATCTGATGAATCCAAACATAT